TGAAAAAAAATGTAATGTTGAATAATTCTGGTAAGCTTATTGTAGATCCATTTACAGAACAGAGGTTCTTTGTAAAGACATAGTATCTGCTGGGCTTCATAGATGAGAGCAAGGACTGGGAACTGATGGTGGTGCATCCTACTGCCAGATTAAGAGAGTTTAGGGACTAGAATCACAATGGACATTTAGCAGAGGGATTTTGTCTGTCCATTGAAGGAAATTGCTTCTCAGTAAAATGGTATTTAATTAACTACCACAGTCTCAGATACAGCAGGTTTTCAAAACATAAGGTTTGTGTGAACATATATAAACACCATGGGCACTGATCCCCAAGAAAGTTACTGTCATTGTCAGCTGGCAATTCTTTTGGGAATTGTGATGCTTGTATTGCATGTATGTCTTTTTCTTTGATGGAGCATGTTCCCAAAAATGGAAGCAATCGCCCTGGCTTCATTTCAACAGAAATCTGAAGAAGCATATCCTCTTTTGGAACGAAAATAATACTTGCAGACAAGCTCTGTAAAGCCAAATGTATTGTTGTTAAGATGTAAATATAAATAGCAAAATAGAAACAAGATTTTTGACCCCGAGTGCCTAGTCCTTACAGGTTTTTGGGACCTGCTTATTCAGCACTTAACAAGTTTAATATTGCTCGATCCTGCATCACTGTAAAAATGGAAATCACTGATCCTGATTATTTTGAGGTTAGTAGAAATCAGAACTGTAGAACAAAGCAGTCTGGGGCCTCGCTTGCTGGTCTTAAAAGTTGAAATGAGTTTCTGTTATGATTTTACAAAGCCTAAAGCATTTTAGATGACTTCAAGTGTATGAATTATTGGAGAAAGTATAATTATGTCTGTGAGTGATAGATGTTAGGTGCAAATATTTAACTTCTTGTATTTTGTATTGATGTATTGTATTGAATAAATATAATGAACTAATGGAAGTTATTAATTTGTCACTCAGCAAAAGTTAATTAACCTCCTAGAAATCTAAATTTGGAAAAAATAAAATCAGAATTTTGAGGGAAAAAGATATTATTTTAAAATATTTACGTATTTTCTAAGGTGAAAATAATTATTACAGAAACATTGGAATTCTGACCACAAGGTAACATGAAGACAGACTCCCTCAGCTAAAAGTCTATGCAAAGGAAGGATATCAGCTTTCACAAATTAATGTTCACCTTCAAAGGGGTCCTTTTTTCAATGTCTTCTCAGCTAACCTTTTTTCCTGCTTCTCCAGGGGAGATGACAACTTCGTATCTTGCTCTGAAGGTGATGGGCTTCTCCTGCAGCTTAATAGAAAAGTAATTTACGTTTCTTACCTCTAGAGAAGTAGTTCTTCTTTTCTTTGCCTGAAGAACTGCTCATAGTCCCGTTGCTTTGCTAACTTAAGTACTACACATATAGCAAAAGCTAGTTTGTTTGGTGGTTAGCAAACGGGAGAGAAATGGGGCATCTGTTCCATGAGTGTTTTAAGATAATTGCTGAAAAAAAACTTTAGAAACCCTTGGTTTGAGTAGGTGATGTTTATGTCGTGTTGCTGACCATGAAATAACACGCTGTTAGTAAGTACAATATAGTCTCTTCAAAGTACATACACTTCACTAAATAGGTATGCTTTGAAAATGCTTGTTTCATCTTGAAGTTTACAGCAGTGCTGTGCAACTGGAATTTAGGCTATTTGTCATAAATTCACAAAGGCTGCATATACAGTCTATGCATTTAAAAAAAAAGGCCTTTAATTAATAGAGTGTTTCTTCCATGAACTTTTACCATGCAGACATTGCAAATCAGCAAGCTAAAAAGAGTCCTGGTCCTGAGTTCTCCTGAACATCTGATATTCAGTTTGAGGTAGCTCCATGCATGTGTGTGTGAGAGGGGAATTCTGTTTCCATCTGCTGACTGCAAAACATGCTGATATTTTCCAGTCAGCAGGGACTCTTGCTCACTTTAGGTACCAAAAACATCCCATTCCCTGTTGATGGTCCCATTTCTCCTTTCACTGATCATGTGTGCCACAGTCTGTTCTAACTGTACATGTTAAACAAAGTTGTTTGAAGGTTAACAGGAAACCTTTTCCAAATAACAGTTTTGTAAACAGTGAAAATCAGTCTAGGGCTCCTGGAGGTCTTTAAAATAGTGTGTATATATTTTTTTATTTTTTTAAGAAGTTGATATCAGAACAGTAATCATTTGGTTGTACAACAGAACAGTTTTAGAACTCATTTTTTATTTTCATCTGAAAGGTTCTTAAATGGGTTTTTCTAAATTTAAATATGTATATATCAGATTTAGTGACTTTAATGGGAATACCCTGAATATTTTGTCTGTAGAAGAGAGGCTCTTCCTTAGAAGAGACTGAAAAATAAAATATTAATTTTATAATGTCTGTGCATATCTATGATTAACCGTGTTTTTTATTGTGCAAATATAACCTAGTTTCTAATCTTCTTAGGCTATAGATAAGGCTGTAGAAATTTAGAAACTAATTCATTAATTCATTTGCTACCCATTCAGATTTCAATTAGTATTTCCTGGCTGGCTTTGACTACCCCTTTGTCATGCCAGTGGGCTGTGTAACTTCTGCTAAATGCCTTTATTTTCGAGCTTTTATACAAATTCACTTCAGTCATGACACATTGATTTTCAGATTGTGACAGAAAGGTTTGGAGAAAATATGCGCGATAAGAAAGTATATAAATCTAACACATGTAAATACTATCTCATTTGCTGAAAGATCTGTCAATTACTTAAGACTTCTTGACCATTTTACTTACTTGTAACTCCTGCAAATGTGCATTTGGCTAGTTCAGTGTTTTGTGTAAATGATTTTGTATCTGAGTATTCTATGCGAATATTCTGTACATCTGATACATTCTTTCTGAAGTAATCTTCTGTTTGTTTTAGGAGTTATTGGCTGTTAGTCTTTGAATATATTGTGTTATATACATAATCCCAACTTGAAGTATTAATGGTTCTTCAACGTTTCTAAGATCAGTGATCACATGAAAATGAGGTTAAACTGTTCTTACTTGTAACTGCATATGTATGCTCTTACAAGTGAAGTGTCTTGTGTTGCCATAGCAAAGATTTCAGTATTTATCTGAAAACATGGGAACAAATAATTATGAAGCAAACCAGTCAATATAGTCAGTCTTTAGCAGGAAAAAACACTTCTCTAAACTATAAAAGGTTTTAATTACATCTGAAGAGGCCTCAGTGTGATCTTCAGTAGAAAAGTCTACGTAAATTATTTGACTGCAGTGGTCTGTCAAAAAAAACCTGGAGAACAAGGCAAATCAGATAGTTGAAGTTAATTAGTGTTGTGTGTGCATCATGAATGCAGAGAGGCTTAAAAGCTACCAGAACTATTCCAAATAACATTTTGGGAAATAATTTCTGAGTTTGGCTCTACTGTGTGATTTGACTGTGGGATCTGGAGAATGAATTTTTACATGTTTTATGAAAGCTTGCAGCAGAATAAGAAGTGGACTATTTTTGTTAAAAACACGAGTCACAAGTTGTGGTAGCAGTTAGAAAAATACACTTCGTTAATTTTCCATGTCAATTTATTCACAGTGTAGTACTCAAGTTATAGACAATTTTTTAAAAGGTACTGTTCTAACAGTAAAATCTAGTAACTTTCCAACATGGAGAAGAGTGGTAATCCTGAGACTTGTATAGGATCAGACCTAATTAGACACCTCTTCAGCTTTTCTGGAGATCTTCTGTATGAGAAGAAAGTAATTTTGTAGTTTTGTTTTGCTTTGTAGATAAATAGTTTATGAAATTAATTATCCATGATATTGTTGGAAAAAATATATTAAAGCAAGTGTATGAAGTATAATATTATCAGCATGTAGGAGTTATATACTTATAAAACAAGTAAGTATCAATCATATATCTCTCAAGACTGATTAAAAATATCTAATCTTGAGGATGTAGGTATGCTACACTATATTCTTTGCCTGATGGCATATCTTGAAAAAATAAAAATGTTGCATTGCTTAAAAATAAGATGTAAAGCTAAAGAAGGTACTTTGAAAATGAATTGCAGTTTCTATACAAGTTCTTATTTTACTGCATTAAATACTTAATAATAAATAATAGTGTGAAGTTTAGCTATTAATCAGATTAATCTAAGTCCTAACTGGTATCAGTTTTAAAATAACTTCCATTGAAGTACTTGTTGAAAGCATACTGAAGGAATGAACTGCATTAATCACTTCATTATGAAATAAAATGTTTTATGCAGATGTTACTTTGTGTTTCCTCAAAATGTCAAATTTCTCCATATCAGCTTGCCAGGAAGGGAAAAAGCTGATAGAAGAAGCCTGGGGAATGTTGTAAGGTTTTTTTTCCCTATGAGGAATGGCAGCCTTGCATATCTTTCTGGTACCTGCTAATTTAAAAAGCAAATTAAAATACTATTTCTCTACAGAGTAGCTTTTAATATCTGACAATCAGTCTGCTGTGTACTAGCTTACAGTTTGAACGTTTTATTCTTTTTCTTTGACAGTAGTAGAACCAGATGTAGATTCGGATTCCCCACAGTGGCTCCCCTTTCAATATACTGAGTGTTCGCTATCAGACTGCTACCTACTGGTTTTTGGTTTTCAGCAGAGAAAATATTTAGTTTGCAGGCATGTGTGGAAAAGCTGACATGCATGAGGCAGTTAGCGGTGATTGGAGACGATGTGGCCTGACTGATTTGCAAAGCTAACCAGTGAACTTTCAGTGCTATTTTTTGTCATTAATAATCCAAGTCAACTGTAGAACATGGAAGTTTTTCTTCAAGTTGCTGAAATCAAACCTTTCATATTGATATCCAAATGGGAATAATTTTCTCAGTATTTTAATCTTTCATTTTTATCCTGTATATATCATTACACTCATGTAAATAAATACAGTTCTTTCAAAACAGTAATATGATCAGCAATTATAAATTTATATGGAAATATGTAATTGACTTTTTCTTTCTTTTTTCTGCTGTAGGGCGGATTATACCAGAAAGAAGATTTGTAGAAGCAGTAAATCGTGAAGCATATCAGTATCAAATGGGTGACTTTCCAACAGAATGGGAAGGTAAATCCTGAATAAATTGGGTTTATTTCAAGATGATTTTGCCATTGAATATAGACTGTATTTTTAATGGAATGTCTGACTGTGTGAATAGGTTAGTTGTTATCTTTCATTGTAAGTAATGCAGGCTTTTATTTCACTGCATAACAATTATGAATTCTTAAAGTAACCTCTTTATAAGGAGGATAAATTTTGTTTAGGAAGTCAGTACTTAGTAAAAGTAAAGTTTGTATGGTCATGATTTACTCTTGTTAAAGGTGAAGATATTTGTTCCTGAGAGGGGTATGATTGAATAACCATACAAAATGTGTTAAACCTCTGTATTATGTCTTCACTGTGCTGTTTATTTGTAGGACAGTTGAATTATTGGTGGCACAGTGATGGGGCTTGCTTCTTTTATGGTAATATTTGGTCTCCTATAGTTTTCCTTGCACAATCTAGTAGGGAGTTGTAGAACCTGTTAATAATTAGCCATTTTATCCCACTGCTACTGATTAAAATCTAGTCTGAAAATTTGGGGCATAATAAAAAAATCAGGGAAGTTAGAGCATTTCCTTAGGATTAGCTGATCAGTCTTACAAGAAATATGGAAAAGAAAGAGGGAGTATATGTTGGCCTTTGAGGTTGGTAGGAACTTGAGCCAAGTGTGAGGTTAAATGTAGCTTGAAATCCAGGACTCTGCAGCATAAGCAAGGAACCCCTGAAATAGTTCACAGAGGCTATCCATCACTAAACATGCTTTTTGGGGAGAAAAATACCTAGGCATCTCCCAGAATTTGGTAGTTTTAAAGCAAACAACCTTTAAGCAGTATGTATTTAAACTATTGAATTCTGCTTGCTGTAACTTTGCATGAATTCAAAAATTGATTAAAAGTATTTGTGGTGGAAAAAATTGTTCTGATATACAGATGTTACTGTGGTTTTATTTGTTGGTGAGCTGCAAATGAATGGAGGCTACAACTCATTTTGAGGAAATATCTTGATATACTTGCTTTACCTCTTGGTAAAAATTCGCTTTCCCTTACGCTCGATGTTTGTCTCTGAGGGAGATGATACTGAGCTTAGAGAAAACCTCAGTCCTGTTATATCTCTTCAGGGAGTCAGTAGAGAAGTATAAAATGTTCTCATCTCGAATTTTATCAGTCATTACATTGTCAATTCCTAGGATTTTTGTTGTGATCAACTGAGGCTTGTATTAACAGCTGAAAGCTTCTCAAATGTGCTTCAAGCCTATTAGCAGCATTTGCCAGATATAGTAAAACCACTGTATCAACAGTTTCTATCTTCTACTTCTGCAGTACCCACAGTTGATTGGCAAGTCTTAGTCTAGTTGCTCCTGGTTCTTTTGTCAGTTCAAGATAACCATCTTCTGAAGGAGAGCAGCAGCCTGGTAGGCTTGTCCTTATTAAATCATCTGGTACTTGAATGGGTACCTACTTAATCCAGCTTTCTGAAGGTTTTCTTCTTCCTCATCCAAAAGTTCTTCAACCACCACTGCTCATCTTAGTTCTGTGTCACTGTCACGCAAACAACTCTGCAACACAGACACCAGGAAGCATATATAAAGCCTCAGGTAACGCTGCTCTACTGTGAATGAACTCTCATCCAAGACCTGCTGCTGCTTTTTAAAGTCAAAAAATGTAATTCAGCAGTTTCTGTCTGCACTTGGCTAGAGTTAATAGGAAACAACATGAAGAATCAGACTGTCTCAGATGGGTGTGGGCTAGATCTCCTTTCACAAAGGGTCTGGGACTGGCTCAACCAACTTGCTATGAAAACCCGTTGCTTAGGATTGCTGAAATCTGTGTTGCACTAAGAAGCCTGTGCTTTGTCTCTCTTCAGAAACTTAGCACAAATCCTTGTGATTTGACGGTGTGGTGCCTGGGAGGGTACAGCTTTTTGGAAGGTTGTTTTATGGCAAGACAGGGACCTTAGAATCAAATGTCAGGTCCCTGCATATGGACTTGCCTAAACAGCTGCAGCTGCCAGACTAGAAATACACTTTTCAAATCAAGGCATCCTGTTCTGGTTTGCTTTAAAGAAGGGGGGATGAACTGACCAGTCCCATTTTTTTCAGGTACTTTTACAATTCTAATGGTTAATTTCCTCATCTTTGTACCTGTGGGGTTTTTTATTTGTGATTTTGTCATCAAATAGAAAGAATTCACAGAGGAAAGGAAAAATTGCACTGTGCAGGTCGGGTAATGGTCTTTTCCCCTTAAGTATTTCTCCTGGTTTCAGCCGAGGATGGGGTTAATTTTTTACAATAGCCAGGAGGGGATGTGGCTGAGGGGACATGGGCAGACCCTAATGTTATTCTGTACCACCTCACCTCATCACCAGGCAGGGGGGAAGTAACTCTGGCTTCTGAGAATATGGGCAGGGCCTCTGGTTGGGAAAAAACCTGGGCACATTTGTTGGGTCATTGAGCATTTTGCATGTAAATCACCCTCTCTTTTGTACACTTTTGTTATTGATATTGTTGCTGTTACTGTTCATTTTCTTGTCTCATTGCTGTTTCCAGTATATTGTTGTTATTTCAACCTATGATCTTTACCTTCTGGGCCTCCAGTTCACCTCTCCGGCCACCCAAGGGGCAAAGAAGATGGCAGAGAGAGAGGGAGAGGGAGCAAGCAGCAGTGTGATTTGGAGAGTCTCTTTGGGAGAACTAAATGGAGAGTACCATTCCACCACAGTACTGAATTTTTCTAGGAAGAAGAAATACATGCATGTTTTTTCCCCCTGTGCATTCATTGAGCAGAATGGGTGTGTAGTGCATGCTTCAGAGAGAGAAAGTATTGGAATTCTAGAAAAAAGGTTAACCTGTATTTTTTTGTCCAGTGTCCCCAAAGTTTTGTGGACGCATAATTTTAAAAAGCCAAAATTGGTACTTCTGCTGTGGGTATGGAGGCTGCTCAAAGAACTATTATGCTTTTGCTACCTATTGGGGTGTGAGCTGGGGATGTAGGATGCTCTGATTCAGTTCATCACTACTTCTTTTCTGCCTCCTGTAAAAAGAAAAATTCTCAATGAGTAAAAAATGGGAAAGAACAGAAAATGTAAATAATTTAAATAATACTATAGAGGCTACTTTATCTGAGTGGGAACAATTTAATTCAAGATTTTTAGACATTCTTTGCTGAAAGGCTCATTACATTTCTGTCCCTATTCTTCCCTCTTTTAAGTCTGGTCTAGAAGTTTCCCAGGCCAATGAGACCTGTACTGAACTTTCACTCTATATATTTTGTCAAGACTCTTGAAAATATCCCAGTGTATTCTTTCTGTGGGTGTTCACTTTTTAATCCATGCTGTCATTGATGCTGATCATTCCAGCAAATAGCCTGAGACTTTGCAGAAGGTGTTCTAAAATGCTTGATGTTTCCTCTGAACAATAGAAGATGAATATAAGGTTAGAAGGTTGTATAGTATTTCTTACTTCTGCTTTCTCTTTACTCTTGGACTCTCTGCTGGGCACGTGCTTACATCTCCAGGGGCCTCCTCTCCAAACCCTGTGTACGTACTTTGACATCCATGGCCTCTCCACCTCAGTTTTGGTTGGCTCAGCAATAGCAGTCTCCTTGCCTATCCTTCTCAGGCTTTTTACTTTAAGCACTGTGCTGAAGTTTCTGTTGTCTTATCTCCTCTCCTTTTTCTTGGGATCTGTGGGATCACTTATGGATAATTCTTAATGACCACCTGATTTAAAAGCTCCCTTTCCTTCTCCTTGTTTCCACCCTACATCACACTGTATGAACTAGAAAAAGAGACCTCTTGTGACCTAAATTAATAAAAGTACCATCCCTGGAAGTACTTAGGGGCATGAGTTGTCTGAGGAGAACTTGCACAGAACCAGGGACAAGGGATAGTGTAAGGAGTGGGAACAGGCTGTAGTGAAATTTGAAGAGGGTCTTGCTTAAATCTCATTGTATACCTAAGACATTCAACTTGGACAGCTGGACTGATTTTGGTGGTGTGTTTATGAAGTTATAAACACATAATACGGTAACAGAGATCAAGTAGAAAGCAATAAAACAAGTGCATAAACCAGTCATCCAGATTACAGACTCTGAAGAGGATGTTTATGTATTAGTCTTGGGAGCTTACTGAATATAGCAACAAGGGTTTACTCCTGAAGAACTTGTCTAGAATTTTTCTCCTAAAGCTGTTAGTTTTAAGTGCTCTGCAGGATTGAATTTTCTACATTCTCAGACCTGTGAATTTTACAAAAGTTTTGAAATGTCCATTAAGGCTTTCATAAAACTGAAACACAATCCCATGTGCTATCCTTAGTGTTAGCTCTTTGTACACATAAAATTCAGTTAATTTTTATTGTAAAAATCTAAAAGTGTATTTCCTTTTGTACTATAGTTTTGAATTTAGAACGCAATCCATATGTATAAATATAAATATTGCCTGTTTTTGTTCAGGTGAAGCCTACATTTTACTAGAAAGTGGGAGTGCCTTCTTTTCCCTAGGCATGTATGGATGCACACAATAGATAACTGTTCTGCATGCTAGTTCTGAATGTTCACCCACTGTAGAATGTGTAATTTACCTGCTCAGGACATGTCAGTAGTGCTCCTGAGAGGAGAGTTTTACATACTACAGAGATTCATGAGATTGCATGCTTCATGCAGCATTTTTTGCCATGTACTCCTAGTAACTCTTTTTTTTTTTTTCCTGGTAATATTTAGTGATTAATAGGAGTCTTAATTTGCATGTTCACTTTCACGGTCATTACAGTGTGTTATCTGCCAGTAGGAGTCTTAAAGTTCAATGAAAATCTCATGCATACTAATAGGAATGCAAATGATTGCTGATGAAAGAATGTAAAGGTGTTGAGGTAGGAAATGTCCAGCTGTCTTGCAGAATTCCTTAAATTTGTTTTAGACAAAGGTAGCATTAAAATGCATACAGGATGCAGGAAGTGCCATCCAGATAAAATTAGAAACAGCAGTTTTAAATGGAGTCAATGAATCATTTTGCCAAAGCTTTGCAGTGCAGGGAAGCACGTTTTGGTTGCACTCAGTATGTGCATGTTACCTTCTCTATCAGGTTTAAAACATCTTGACTGTCAATGGTGAAGGCGTTTCGTTTTGTTAGCTTGGGGAATGGGAGTGTTCATGTGGAAATTTTTTCCAGCTATAACTGTCACTGGATATTTGTCTGTTAAGTATATGCATGTGTGCATATTTTGCCCAAATAATACATAATAAAGCACCTACCTACCTACCTTTTTTCCATCAACAAATATTTGTGTGGTATAAATCTGTTCAGTAATTTAAACGTGCATGACCAAAAATATAATGAAAGTTGTAAAAAAAGATGTTAGAGCTTTTTTAATTACTTAAGTGTATACACTGACTATGTTTTCCAAAGAGAATGCAAAATGTCTTAATTTCAATGTATCATTTACTTTGATTTTGTTAAAGCTAGTGCAACCTCAGTAGTAAATGACTGGTTATATTTTTTATACATTCATTCTTCTTTTGTTATCATGAATTTCTCTTATGCCTGAGCTATGTGGTGTTGGTGCTTTTTTGAACCATGTGTTGGGTGCTCAAAATTTTATTGATAACTTAAAAATTTGAATGTTTTTTTAAATTTTTTCTGTCTGAAAGAGAACCACCTGAAAAATGGTGGAGATTGAATATATTAGAGTCCTCCTATTCTGCTTCCCAAAGATCGAGGAATGGTCAGGTGAATTATTAGTAAAATATATTGCTTTTGAAAGACTGATAAGACTGTTACATGCTAAAGTTCAGTATATTAAAATGTACTGAATTCAGATGATGTTTTCTTTGCTTTTAATCTTGTAATGTATCTTGAGCTGTGCTTTATGTAGAATATTTGTGTGATGTATTTGCACAGAGGAATATGATATATTAAAACTAATTAGCTTGATTTTATGGGTATAAAAAGATTTTAGTAAGTTTTCTTACTGTGTTTCTCCCTCAGCTATGTTGCAGTGAAGAAATCTTTCATTAAACAATGATTTTTCTAATGCAGTTCATTAAAGATGTTACTTCTAGTAATTTGGGAAGTGGTATCAATATTTGTGCCATCAAGTTTTATTTACAGTTAGACTGAAAAAGATTTGTACTCCTGACATTTATTAGAAAAAAGGAAGGTTGATAGCTTCTATAAAACTGTGCATTCAAGTGTTTGTTATAACTGGAAAGAAAAAATAGCACAATATTAAACTGTGTGCATTATTTATGTATTTAAATAGATACAGTCTGATTATAGAATGTTTGATACAAGAAATCTTCCTAAATATATGGTTTATTTTGTTGCTTTTGAGTGTTGGTACTAACTGAGAACTATTAGTGACTTAAAATGTGTTGTGTAATGCTCCTTGCTTCACAGCTTCTGTTCACAGGAGGTGTGTCATTGTGTTACCCTTCACTGTTCTGTTTGTGGCTTGTTGAACTGAGGTAGATAAGCAAATGATAAAATCTTTTGCTAGAAGTATTCCATTCATCTGAAAATCATTAATCAAATAACTACTAAAAGTCACAGCTTCTATTAAAAGAAAATCTGTTGTAAGGGTTATATTTCAGCAGTAGTTTCTAACTGCAGCTTAATTTTTGTAGGATTTTAAATTTTTTCTTTAATGCTCAGTAACTGTAATCAGGTGAAGTTAAAATGCAGCTGGTGTTTTAAGAAAATACTGGCAATTTAAAAAAAAATATTTTTATGTGCTAAGAGCTGTGGGACTGAAAACAGTGGGACTGTCCTTCCATAGGTCAGAAGCAAGGCATGACAAGGTAGAAGATAATACTTTACTGGAAGTAATCTGTTAAATTTTGATGGTTTAAAACTTAATTTTTTATGAAACATTTTAAACTACAACTTTTCCTTTTTTTCCTCCAGCTCTATCTTTTATTGATTAGTGTCTAGTATACATACTTCACTATACTTGAAATCTCTACCACTTTCTTGCTTTTCTGGATGATGCTGGAACTGTTGCTGAGTATGGACAAAGTAAAGTTCTGTCAGAAGGAAAATCTTATGTGATAAGATTTTCTCCAATAGCATTGTTCATTATTTTTACAAAGAGTGTCTGCAAGAGTATCTGCTGAGAAGTGGCAGTCTCAGTTTAGTCTCTGATTTTGCCAGATTTTGCATTTTGAAATCCTTGGAGAATATAAATGTTTGAAAGAGCTACAGATACATGCAAAATGTCCTCTAATTCTATAGATTTAATAGAAAGGCACTTAGTTTTATTTTGAGTTGCCTTAATGGGCTGTTTTTCATTCCTTTAACATAGAACTTTTGCGGAAAGGGTGCTGTAGTCTGTTCAGAGCTGAGTTACTTCCCCACAATGGCAAATTTGGGTCTCTTTTTCGTTAGGACCTCTGAGAAGAGCTGGCAGGGACTGCTTTAAAGGAAAGTAGTTTGAGAATGTTATTTAAAAGTACACATCTTCAGGAAGCGTCAACTGATAGACAAGAACCAAAAATAATACCTTGCTTCATATCATTACAGGTATTTTAACATTAACCTTTACCATTAATCAAAGTTGTTGGCCTTGTCATCGTGGCTAAATTCCAAGCTATGTCATGCCATTTCATCTCTCTTAAATTGGTATTATGTTAATTGGAAGCTATTCCTCCTAAAACCAGTTTCATACTGCTGCTGAAGCAGAGTGGTGTTAGTGTATCACCTTTTATGTAATTGCATTTTCAGTAACAAGGTGGTGTTATGTCTCTGTGAAAGTTTTAATGTTTTTGACTTGTCTGACTCATTCCCTGGTTCCCCTCAAAATACAGTACAGATGGTATTAGAAAATTAAAATTTGGAATAGTTCCCTCTTAAAGTGTTTCTGAAACTTTATAGGTGGCTACAGGTGAGGCCAGAAATTTGATTGGGTGATAACAAAGTGTCATTTTTGCTCTAATTTTCAAGCACAGTAACAAAAATCTTAATTATCCAAACAAACACATGAAATAACATTTTGCTGTATCTCAGCACCTGGAACTGGCTTTCCTTATGTTTATCATTCTCTTTATTACTGGCCACTTGTATTCTGCTACTCATTAATCTGAAAAATATGACCAGAAAAGACAAACATCACTGAAATTTCCATCCCAGAACCTGCCAATTGTGTAGATTGAAAAGGCATGAAAAAATGTGACAGTAGTGATATTTCTAAAGAGTGATGAATATTATCCTGTTCAAATCAGGTAATTTCTTCTAAAGAGTGATGAATATTATCTTGTTCAAATCAGGTAATTTCTCTAAATAATGCCAGTAATAGCTGGAGCTATTTCATATAGTCATAAACTGAATAAAGTGAGACCTGACGGAGCCTGCAGGGATTCCATTCCTCTTCTGTCTTTTCCAGCATTAATTGACTGAGATGGAGGGATCCTTCCCTCAGTCACAGTACCTGTCCCTCTGTGCAGCCGGTAATCCCACACAGTCACAGGACGTACTGCAGTCCAGGCTCTGCAGCCCCTCAGTCAGGTTTGGGGCTGTGCCTGTAAAGGAATTCTAGTTGGCCCTAACATAAAAAGGTTTTTGGCTTTAAGAATGCCAGAAGCATATACAGGAGTCCATTTTCTCCAGAGTGGTTTAAGGCTGTACATACTTTTCAGCAGTCAGCTTGTCATTTTCACGGTGAATCTCAACAACAGGCCTGTGCAATGAGCCCTGCTTTTTAAGCCTTGTTTTGACAGCCAAGGTGGTATGTAAACTGTGTCCAAGCTCTCCACACAGAGGTGACACCATTCCCCACACCCTTCTTCTTTGACGACTGAGAATATTGACACAGGAAATAACATCTTCTGTCTACATTTTGGGAAATGACATGGTTTGCCAGGTTGTGTCAAATTTTATTGTAATTTTTTCATAACTGTTTATTTTCTGCTACAAATTTGTCATAAGTTTGAGTTTTAATATTCTGCGATCTCTGAAATAATCCATTTGATTTTTTTTTTCAGCATGGATAAGAAGAAAAAGAAAGGATCCACCCACCATTGAGGTGAGAAGAAATGTCTTTAAATTTTCAATTGTTATAATGAAACTACAATAATTAATTTATAGTGGACTCTTCTCTGCAGTAACTTGACCCTTTTGGGGAAGAATTTAATATGTTCCTTGCCTAATTGATGAAATTATACACAGACTAAATATCTAACACTTAGAAAAAAATAAAACAAATGGATATACAAACTCCACTGTTCTTTAGTCATCATCTGTGTGAATTCTTTTAAGATGGTCTACATAGGTTTTTTAAAATGATCATGGTGATTCAAGAGTCTCTTTAATTAAACAAATTCTGAAATTACTGCCATAACTTTTTTAATTCAGGTCCTCTGTGCATTAATGGAAGGGTTTTTTCATGGTATTTGACATTAAAATGTAGGTTCCAAATCCATCTGCCAGTGGATTCATCAAAACAGGAAAACTAATTTTACAGTGCTAATGAGATGGGGGAGTTGCAGCTATGTCTTTTTCCATAAGATGACACAGGGAAATGTCTCACAGTCTTTCATGCTGGTAAGTTTGTAAAGGGAGGGACAAGTTTGACTGCTGATCTCTGTTATACAGATGCACACACACACATACACAACTTGCCAGGATTTCTATTACAAGTTGCTAAGCACCAGCTAGGAATGAGAAGGTAGATGAGGACATGTTTTGCTATGGAAGGTTCAAACTGACATCCATGGAGGCAGATACTTGACTTGCATCAGGAATCTGCGTCAAGTTCAGTGAAGCTGTGTTGGCATCTCTAGCCAAAGATTTGGCCACTGAGATCTGGAATGCGCTGGTTTGTGAAAAGTTGCCCTGACTGCCTGTGTGTTGAGATAACCTGGGGAAGGTTGTCAGCTGATGTTTAGAAGATGTACTTCATTGAAACACGCTCCCACATAAGATACAGCTTTTCAACTAAATCTCTCTGTCCCTGTTTCACACTTGCCACTGAGGATGTAGAGACAATAAAGGCTATAATACACCCCTGGATGAAAGAAGTTTAATTTAATTTATCCTTAAAGCTATTTGGGGAAGTCCTAAGTGTCAGTTTGGGTTTTTTTAAAATTTTTTTCCCTTCCCTCCTCACCCTAGTTACTTGTGCAGAGTCATAGAACTAATACTACAACAGTTGTTCCATCGAAGTGTGGACTGAGTTCCTGAGCTTTGGCTCATACTAACTGCACGCATACAACTTTTATTGTTGAAATTACCACTTAATGTGATACTTGAAGATGAGAGGTGTTGTGAGTCTTTTGTTTTATCATTTCTGTGAGCCAGACTGTTGTGATAGTTGCGATGAGATAAACCCGTTCCAAGAAGGGCAGCCTTGGGTCTGGAATTGGTGCAATAAAGCTCCTCCTGGTGCTAGAGATGTTGGTTCATTTTTGAAATAGGGAGCAAGGAGTCTTCGCAGGTGAGAGAGCTGTGGAACAATGGTTTTCTAAATATCTTACCTTCCAAAAAAAGCAATTTACGGCGAATGAAAGATTCCTGGAACTAATGGTGGATTCAGAGTTACAGGACTGCTTATACTTTCAGTTTCATGAGGTAATAGATCTGAAGAAATTTAGAAGCTAAGTACTTTACCTGCAGGGCTGTATGTTGACCTTAACTGAGCAGAACTGATAGACTAGGAATTTAAAAATAGTTATCTTTTCAAGTAATCTCTAAATTGTTTTTTTCCTGTATAAGAAAAAATAGTTCAAATATATGTATGTTAAAAATTCTTTGAAAATAATGCTGCAGTCATATTTTAAATGATAGTGCAGCCTAATTTTTTTCTCTGTATTAGTGTAGGGCAATATCTATGATCTACTTTTCTCCTAATGTGAAACTGCTATATTACAAACCCTTACACCACAATATCATTATAAATATAATTATAGTAGTGAAGTGCATATAGAATATTATTCGATCCCTGTTTGTAGGACTGATTGGCTTTTGTGTTTTAGCCACATAAACTTTACTGGCTGCTATTCTGTATTATATACCCTTTTTGACTGTAAAGATGATACAGTAAACAGCTGTTTGACAGCTATGGAACAAGGGAATATTTGTGACCATATTTCACGTTGAAACCCTATATAACAAATCTCTTTGTTCTTTCATGTATTTCTCGTGAGACTAAACTATTTCTGAAAAAGGATGTAAAGCCTACAAATTTTGCATTGTTGCTTTAATGACGTTTTGCTGTCATATTCTAGCATCACAAAATATCATTTTAGTTCCTAAAGCATAAGTTCCTGGATCTGTGCCCATGCTCCTACCTTTGCAGCCTGTAATACCACTTTTTTAGATGGTTTTCCTTTTTTTTCTGTCCTCTACCCTTTATTAAAATTTCTGTTCCAGTTCTGTTAGCCTACCATCCCCCTTTTGTATTGTATGTTTGGGTTTTTTGTGTTTGTCAAATTTGTCTTTTATTCAACTCTTGGCTATTGATATTAGAGGTTACCAGACTGCTCAGGTTATCAGATCTCATAATGAGCTCTATGATCAATTTTTAATTGAAAATATTGCAGAGATATGGCTTCACAAATCAGCTGGATCTTACTGATCACGCTGATGACCATATTCTGGGAACTAATAGTTTGGTAAATACTGTAGGCTAACAAAATGTCATTCATAATCTCATTTGAATGAGAATGAATGTGAATTGTCCTTCCTTACCAGTGGTCCGAGTAGTTGGGTCATGATACCTGCTAAGGCTGTTGACAGTGTTCTTGAGACTTGATCATGTTTTGTATTCAGGCCATTCTTTCTTCTACAAACACCTAACTGATCTTTTTTGATAGTTTGTTTCCATTATAAAGTTTTCAGAAATTGCTTTACATCTCCTTCTTTAGTTTCTCTCTCTCTCTCTCTTTTTTTTTTAATGGAAGAATACTCCAGTGACTTCACAGGTCAACTTGTTCAGTGTTAAATGTGCCATGTCCTTAATGGTTTGTTTCTGCCTTGTGCTCCCACACCTTTTTCCCCATTTTTGGAAGAAATCACTTAGACTTCTGTATCTGGCTAGACATAACCCAAGAATTATGCTTATCACCTTGGTTATTTCTAACCTGACCAGTTACATCAGGCATTTTAGTGCTGGAAGCCTTGGGCTTTAAAGCCAGCTTCTGGAATACTGGTTAACAGCTGCTTGCCTTTTAAATAATTGTAGCTTGAAATACGCCAAGTCTCAACTCAGTTATGGTAAGGGCGATAACTTTGCAAATTAATGCAGATCAAGTTGTTTCTTATCTTCTGCTTAAACATATTCTGTTCCTATGGTAATCAGGGAATCCATCTTGATATAGAATTTTGGATCATGCTTGCACCTAGCGTAAGCATGTATGTATATACATACACATACTGCTTCATAACAGGTAAGAATCTGAGCTTCACTATGTATATTTTTGCATTACTGTAACATTTTGTCATCAATGCCTTTATATATGTTTTGAGTATGGTCGTATACGATTGGCTGAGGAATATTTGTCACTACCTTTATTCCTATGAAGCTGTAAATTATATTTTAACCAGTTTAACAAGGAATGAATAATGAAGTAGACTAATACATTTCTTTATTATGTATATAGGAAACTAAATGTATGTAGCAAGTTTTCTGGCAAATCGGAAATGTAATATCTACTGGACCACTGTGGCTATGTCTCACACTTAGCACTATCACGGATAGCATTATGTAAATATAATTAAAAATAGTAATGAAAGAAATTCTTATTTTCTATTGGTAGTGGCTGGATGCATAGGATACTTGTGAGTTCTGGTTATGGTACCACTTGCAACAGTGTACTTGTATCTCTGCCTGTCTCTCAACACACAGCCAGGTTTTGCCCACATAGATAGTAAGAGTCATGTCAATTGGTTTAGTTTAGGTATATTGTATCTAAGACTCTGAGTCTTCAGCTTCTAAACCTAGAAGGAACTAAGAGACATATTTTTAAGGAAGTAGCAAACATTAAAAATATTAGGCATATAATGAGTTTTTAAGACTTTCTGTGCTTAAATTCTATTTGATTTTTTTAGTATTTTCCTATTTCAGAGGGCATCAGATTTGTAGCAGCTTTTAAAGAATCCTACTGTGCCACGGTCCGTGGGGGAGGAGTGAAGGGCCACGGCACTGCACAAAGGGGTTCAAGTGAGGTTTGGGGTGCAATGCTGGTTTAATGAGGGTGTGCAAGGGTTTTATAAGCTCTGGCGTGGAATGCACCAAAAAATGGGGTGAAGCATGAGACAGGGAACCAGGGAAACGAATAGGGATAGGGACTCAGGCGAAGAGGGAGGAACTAGGGAGGAACCAGGGGAGGAAAGGACGAATGGTAGCTCTCTCCTCTCTGCAGCTTCTTCAGCCAGTCAGAGGGAGAAGCAGGGAACAGGCACCACACGGCATGCCTGGTCAAGCCCGGGTATTACAACCGTAGGGGGAATCATACAGTGCACATATTTATAAACACATAAGAACTGTAAAGTCCATATAATAAAGTCCTTTCAATTACTGTATATCTTTTTCCACACCTGGAATCGTTCCCATTCTGATTCTTGCTCTTCCACACTACTGTCTGTAACACAAGGTACCTGAATGTATTTAGAAATCTAACCCTTATTTTTATCTCCAGCAGACACACTGCTTCTGATAATGTCTTGAGGTTTAAGGGTGTCCGAGTAACTTGGCATGGTTTAAGGTCTTGTCTGTAGAATGGAGATAGAGGTAAAATTATAGACTGTCTTGAGGTGCGAGAAAACTAATGAGGAGACCTGCAGTTATGACAGTGCCAAGAGAAACTGGTATGGAGAAAAATGTGGTTTATCTCTGAACCCAGCGATGTGGTATTCTTCAAGTGGTAGATGTGAGCACAGGGCTGCACAGCCATGAAGCTTCTCATTTTGAATTGAAACCTTTCTGTTGCTGCGTATGCCTGTGTATGTTATGCTTATATTTTGTGGGAAGTAAAGTAGAATTGCATGTTCCTTTAATTAGTGTCAAGATCTGAAAACAGTTTGAAAGAGAAAACCACAGTAAATGACTGCTTTTCTCATGCATTATGTACTTGTTACTCAATTAATGAATCTCAGTGACTTCTGAATTTCACAGTTGGATAGAAGGTGAAATGTTAAAAAAAGAAACTTTTTGTGACAATGCCCGTCTTCTTTCAAACTATTTCTAGCATTTCCATAATTATCTCTTTTGACAAACTCCTTGTCAAGGGAGAAAAAAACATACTTCAGTGAGTTGTGATAAGCCTAAAGTTTCAGTGATTGTTTCTTCCTCTCACCCCCCTGAATAATTACAGTGAAATTACATTCTATTTTGTTCCCACAATGCGTACACACTTTTCCCATTTGTTTGATCTTAAGTATTATTTATTTGAGAGGTGGTATGATCAAAATTAGCTTCAGTCATAGAGATCTTTTTACACAAAATTCACATTCCTTTAAGGAGAATGGAATGCAGTTTAGAAAAATGCTTGGTTTGGCATTGTTGGGATTGCATGTTAGAGTTTTGTCTCTGTCTGCTTTCAGATGCTTCAGCTGAGAAGTTTTAAAATGAGAACTCTGACATGGAGATTGTACATTCTTACACAAAGAATAGGGCTTAGCAAATGATTATTTTACTTGTGAAGCCACCAAAAGCCGCACAATATGATTTACAGTTCTGTAAATCATAAAAAAGCACAGGGATAAACATGTCTCTGAGCAAAATATTCCTCACCGTTGTTGTCCAGGATCACAATCAGGATTTGGGCCTATTCAAATAACTTAGGTTGTAGTAAGTAGCGTTTTTTTGCATAGTAAATTGGGCATGATTCCAGGGAGGATTATTACTCTGTGAAAGGGCAGTAAAATTTGACAATATAAAGAGCTGAGCTGCTAAGGTCTTAAATAAAAGGGAGTGGTCAGAGAAGTCAATAAAAAAACTCAAATTGAACGCTTGCAGAAGCCATCATCTTTTAGATTTTAGGTTTTTTCCCTCTTGTTTATTTTCAGGTTTGAAACACAGGTGCTTGTCAACCTGCACAGAGGAGTATTGAGGCACCAATTTGTTCTATTCCTTCCAATTTGCCTATGCTGCAGATCCAAAGCCTGCAGAGGGGGGAGCTGCTGCTGTTCTGCAGCTCCTATCCGTGTGGGAGGGAGTGCATGGAGCATTGGTTCCATCTCCTAATTCACTGTCAGCACAGCTGAATGGGGGTGGAGGGCGAAGTAAAGTGTACCAGGAAAAGGGCTGGTACAGACTATATCATATGTAGACTAAGGGGAATGCAAGGAACAAACTGCAGCTGAGTCACAGCAACAGTTCCTTGTTCGCTTGTTAGCAAATCCAGATATGCCTTTCTAATCCAAACTGCTCCTCTGTTTTTGCCATGCACTGACAGCCCTTCAGTGTGGTGATTGTTTCTCATTCTCAATTTGGTACTGCTGAGCTCATGTTCAGTGGCTGAGTTATCAAGACCTGCCCTGGATCAGAAAATTCAGTGCTTCCCAGAGACAAGGTCCTCTCTCTGCCTCCTACTCTTGAAATATGATGTAATAGCCAGTTATTTCATCTTGTCTATTTAACTTGTCAAACCGGAAAATGGAGTTTAGGTAACTAGTTTGGTGATACTGTAAAAAATGGTGATTCAGCTTAACTTAGCACTTTGCCATATATTTAGTCAATTTGATAATGAAGAAAAATTCTAATGTGTTAAACTGTCTTATAACAATCCATGTTTCAAATACTGTGCCAAAGCAACCATTTATTATTTTTTATCTTTTTGCCAACTTGTATGTATGAATTTTTAACAGGCAGAGTTCAAAGTTCAAGTACATTAATGATTAAACATAAAATGATTAAACCCAAATGCAAGTATTCTATGAATATGCAGTGTCTGTATAGTTCAAACAAAGAGCATTAATCTGTCCAGATGTTTCTCAGTTCTGGCATCAGAACCCTATTCAAATCAGGAGAAATCATTTCAGCTTACATATATAAGATAACTTAGGAAGTTGGAATGGTTTCTAAAACAACATAAATAAGCTATTTATTTTTAATTTAATCAAAATACAAATCCATCTGAAATGAATGTGACACCTTGCTCGTAGTTAATAATAAATACAACTCTTGTATTTATAGAGTTAGGTACAATGTCTTTAGAAAACCTTCTGGAAAGAACAAAACTAAAACAAGTGCGAGTCTGTTAAAATAACCTTTTAAACAATTCTGTTTAGAGATTGTTACATTGGTACTCTGTGTCTAGATACCTGCATCCTTAGAGCTACATTCATAACCTCATGTTGCCCTATGCCTTTAGTAGTTTGAAAATGCTCTGTGAGAGGCAAGTGATGGTGTAACTGATGCTGGCTTGAGTCCAAGAGGGAAACAGTGAGGAAGTAAGTGGAGGGGGAGGAATATTTCCTCAGATTGTGGGGTTTGGGAGGTGCTGCAGGATAGAAATTATTAGGTACAGGCTTTTACTGTGGAGAAGTCTTCAGCAAAGGCTAGTCACTCACAAGTGAGATCCCAGCTGAAAGAATGAGTGAGTTTAGAGAACCCTCTTTTGTTTTGTGACATTTTCCTGCTAGGAGGAATTAATTTTATTTATTCTGTAAAGCTACTAGTTTATTCACAAAAGTGACAATATAAGATCCTTTAAGAGTGAAAGAACACTGCATTCCAAATGTTCACCCTACAAAGCAGGTCTTCCGGTACTGTGCACAGGAACAGATTTCCCAGAGAAAGTAGGAAGTCTCCCTCACTGAGGATATTAACTGTCTGGATGCAATGCTGTGCAATGTGCTTTAAGTTGACTCTGCATGGGCAGGGAGGTGGGACCAGATGATCCACTGTGGTCCCTTCCAACTTGATCCATTCTGTGATTCTGTGATTTTAGGTATTTATTTATTAATCTTGTGTGTCTTCAGCTTATGCACTAGCAGAGTCAAGGTTGCACATCTGTTTGTAGCAAAGCTACGCCCTGTGGCACAGATACCTAATACCACAGGCATAGTGAATTACAGGAAGACATGCAAGTGATAAATAGCTATAAGTATCAAGTCCTACACAGAAAACAATGCAAGAGGTAGCCTTATTTTTAATGTATTTTCACATTTGTTGATGACTGTACCTAATTTCTTAATTTCTTCTTTTTGCTCCAATAGAACAGTGAAATGGACACCACAATGCAATTTTGCTTCAACAATATGATCAAAATATTAAGAACATTCTAAAAAAGTGTTGAATTTGAGGTTGGTGAAAACCAATTAATTTTGCCACATTTTATCTAAATATCTGAAAATGGGGATTATAAAGTTAAGAAAAGCAACGACTGTTTAAAATATTTTATTACAACATTTAGTATTGGATTGGCTTGTGAATCATCTAATTATCTTTCTACTCTGTTCTTAGGAGATTCTTAGGAATGAAAATTATAGAGAAGAAATGAAACAGAAAATAAAAGATGTATCTGAAAAGGATAAGCTGCTTCAGTCCAAGGAATACAAGGAGGGACTTGTTGCTGAACCAGGTCATACTCAGGTTAAAGGTCATGCATCTGCCCCTTACTATGGAAAGAAGGAGCCTTCAGAAGATCCCACAAGCACTGCAAATACCTTCCAGCCTGGTGCCTGGATGCCACCAGGCAGTGGTAGTAGTCAAAATAAATGAACAATTGTATTGTACAGATATTGCTCATGGATAAATGTTTTAACAGACAACATAAAGAGCTTTATATGACAGTGTGCAATGAAGTGGTATTAAAGCAGTTTAATTTACTTTTGCAGAACTATTCAAATGGGCTTTATCATGAAAAACTGATGTAAAATGTTTGGGTTTAGTGAAAAACAAGATGTGTTACTAAGTTAAGTTTGGTTTTGACAGTTGCTGTTCATCAGTTAGTCTTGAATTCAGTTAGAATGTTGTCTAACTTAATTTCCCTAAAAAAGTCTAAATTGTTTTTTCCTTGAATACTAATTATTTTTTAAATTGTTTTTGATGTAATGGTCGGTACGCTTACAATTTTCCCAAACCTTGGCCAAGATATCCCTTTAGAATAACTCCCTTGTCAGTGCCAGTCTGCTCTCCACTGGCAAGCAGATGGAAAAGCTGATTTCATTGACAGGAATCACTGTGACACAACACTGATTACACACTGTATTCATCATAGAGACGTTCTTGTAACTTAAAGAAAACAGTCAACATATCTGAATGTTTGATTTGAAGCCAACAATTTGCACGGGATAAAATCAGTTAAACTACATATAGCTGCTGTAATAGAGGCTGGAAGTACTTGATAAAGCTGCTGCAAAATAATTCGAGGTTTGGGACAAGGGACTGTCATGAATATTTAAAGAAAAAAAATAAAATTAGTTTTTATTTCTGGTGTATCCATGGACTTCCCTGAATGATTAGATCATTTTGGCCACAGTTTAGATACATAAAATGTATGGATTATTTGCTTAGAGAGGATGTTTGAGAACTTCGAATAAAAATAAAAACACAATTTTTTTTCAAAAAGTATCAAATTTATTTATGGAGTTTATCTCTCATCAGTTCTCCTCCCTGTGTTTCAAGCCGTGTAGGTATCAAAGGTGGAACACATATATATTTGACAACACTTCATACAAAACATGGAGACATAATCTCACATATTTATAAAATGCCCAAATGTCATATTCTAATAATGCTTGCTTTCACCAACAAAATTGAAAGGGGATCAACTTCACATTTACTTTAAGTAATTTCAGTTAGACTCCCCACTTCTGATCCCCCTTGGTGTCAGCGAGGTCTATAGGTCTATTCATTTGAACAATGGTACTACTTTAAGGTTTTATTTTTAAACATAATCAAAGACTATCTCCTGAAATGCACAACTCTGTGCTGCTTGTTTCGATACACGCAAAATAGAAAAACTTAATGACTGCCACAAGCTCTTTTGAACTAGACCATGTAGAGGCCTTTGAAAATTTAATCTGTTCTGTTAAGAAACATAAATTGGAAATAAGGTTAAATAATTTGGCGTATTTCCTACACAAACCTTTTTTTTTTCTTCCAGTATACCAGCATTTTGCAACCGGTAAGGCAGCAGAGTTTCAAGGGCTATGAGAACAAGAATTCCACCTAAACTCAAAGGTCCTAGATCAAAGGTAGCCAGGTCAGAAAGTAGGAAGAACTACTGTCACCAGCATGTGCACTGTCCTCCCACAGCCACGTGCTACAGGTCACTAGGACACAGAACACTAGGCCAGCCGGGTCTTTGGTCTCACCCAGTTTATGGCTATTCTTTGAGGCATGAAGAATTTATGAAGGCAGAAACAAATTAGTTACAGGTGGAGAGCTCAGCTGATTGTTAGGAAAGACCAAACAACATAGTACTGAATTTTGTAGAACATGATGAGTGCCTTAAGACAAATGAAGCTAATAAGAACAAGCAATCAGTTTCCTAGAGTTTGGGCTGAATTTAAAGGCTGTTCATGGCTGGTAGCTCAGGAAACAGGAAGAGCTAAGGTAGGTTATTTTTGCAGGGAAGCCCCACCATCAAAGACACTGCAGCAGCCACCACAGGCACACGCAGCCATATACAGTGTCCTTAAAGGAAATCAGTCATCTCTGCTATCTAATTAAGCTACAGTTAGCTTATCTCTACGGCTCTGCTGAAGGTATGCCAAAACATGCATTTCTGTAATCCAGTTTATTATTCACATTTTCCCCTAAATTTGACAACTTTAAGACACTTGTTAAGTCATAGTTCGGCTAAGGAGAAAAACAAATTACCTCCAGAGTCACGCAACAGGGTAATTTTTTAACATAACATGCAAATTTAGAAAAGCAACCTGCACTAGAAACCACAAGTAGTAGATTTAATAAGTGTCACTTGGGCAAATTTGAACACAAATCATCAGGAAAAAAATACACTCAAAGTATTAAATTTCATACTTCAAGAAATAACAGGATCAAGTATCAAAGGACAGTTACAACACAAAACATAAAAGTGTTTCATTTAAAAAGTGGATTCTTTGCGCACAGCAGGTCATTTTTGCCCATTTAATCCTTCTTTGTTCGTTTGGCTTTTGCAATGTTCTCTTGGCGTTTCTGTTTCTTCTTTTGCTCTCGCTCCCTGGCCTCAATCATTTTTGCAAGCTTCCATGAAAGTGCTGCACTGATCACGAACAACGGCGTAAGGGCCAAGATCACCGTGGTAAGAAAGCCATAGGGGTCCTTTGCAGCCCACTCCACGATGTACTCAGCCCAAGCCTTAATATCGAACATCTTTTCTGTTCTTCTATTGGGAAAACCCCGTGGAATAATAAAAAAAATAATTTCTGAGTACTCAGAAAAATAAAGGCACACATACATGAAAACAAAACATAAGAAGTTCTACCTCTACATGAGGAAGAATATTTCTGCATTGCTGATGGCAGAGCACTGGAACAGGCTGCCCAGGGAGGTCGTGGAGTCTCCCTCTCTGGAGACATTCAAAACCCACCTGGACGTGTTCCAGGTGACCCTGCCTTGGCAGGGTCGTTAGACTGGATGATCTCCAGAGGTCCCTTCCAACCCTAAACAATTCTGTGATCCCTAACAATTCTCTGATAGTAAATACCGTTTTAATACAAATTGTCATCAAAAAGCAAGCCCATTTTTGCTAGAAGTTAAAAGTAGTGCATGCTATGTGAAAGCGTAACACAAAGCACTAACTACACTAACGCTAACGTTCAGCGTTTATAAAATAATTAGGCATTCCATCCAATAGAGCTGCAGACACTACCAAGAATAAATTGCTAAATCGAAAAAAAGAGTACGGTCTGGGGTTCTCTGGAAAAGAAGGAAAGCCAGCCCGGTTGGTTTCTCTCTCCATAGGTTTCACTAGGGACGGCAGGGAGCCCGGGCAGCACTTCAGACACTGAGCTGGCGGTAGCCGGGAAAACAGAAACCCGGCGGCGGTGTCGGCTCCACCGCGTCTCCCCTGCGAACGACTGGACCGACCCCTCCGTCCCTCCCGCCGCTCCCCTCGCCCTGTCCTGGCCGGCTCCACCTCACCTGGGCCCAGGGCACGCTCCGGGCCTGCCGAGCGGCGCAAGGGCGGCGCCGAGGTCCCTACAGAAAGAACACACGGGCCGTGAGCGGGAGGCGACACGCCCCACCCTCCCTCCTCCGGCCCCCGCGATACCGCGGCCCTGGACGTCTCCGGGGTTCCGAGCGGAAACAGGAAAGAGGCAGCTGAGCCGCCCCGCCCAGGCCGGGCGGGAGTGGGGTAGCAGAGCCCGCCTGCGGCGGGGATAGGACGGGCCCGCGGCGTTCCGCCCTCCCGAGATCTGCGCGGTGCCGCCTCACGGGCACCGGCCATGGGGAGGAATGGAGTGCGGACGAGGGACTCATCACTGCTTTGGGAAAAGGCTTTACGCTGGGAAAAAGGCATTCCAGAGGTACCCGGATGGGTAGTTCACGTTGTGGAATAATCTTTAGAGGCTGGAGTGCCGCTCGCCCTCAGGGAAGCCTGGCAGCGGCCGGTCGGGACGGGGCACCCTCCGAGAACGGCGGTGTGCTGCCGATCGGGTGCGTGGCACGATCGGAATCAGACCGGAGAGAGCTTGTGCCAGTACCTCGGCGGTATACCCCCGATATGTCGTGCATCTTTTGAGAGCCCTGACCCTCCGGCGGGCGCACAGTGCTGTCCTCGGGGGTACCAGCCATGCGGGAGCTGCTGTGGCTGTTGCGCTGATCCCCACCGAACTCACCTCAGCGAAAATAATTCGGTTGATCTCCGAATATTCTGAGCCTTTAATATGCTCATACTGAAAATTCACTCAAATTCAAAAATCTCGTGTTTGCCTTTGTGTGTTGCACCAAGTCTTTTTCCTTTCACACATACACTGATGTGAATAAAAACGTTGTTACGTTTTCGAAGCAAGAAAAAGGAGCTTATTCGCTTAGTGTATGAGAGGATCTTGCAGTCACCCAAATTGTATTGATCAATTCTGGAGTTTATTTCTCTGTAATGTACTAACAAATGCCACTGGGGCATTCTGGTTTTGTAAATCTTTTCTTTACATCAATATTTATATTATTTAAAGGGCAACAAACAGTTAAATAAAAATATATTTTGTCAATGAGTCATTGACAAGTGTCATGAAAGAAATGCACCACCACAACATGAAATCATAAAATTGCTTTAGTGTCAGTATGTTGAATGCAGTTCTGTGATATGTGCAAAATTACATTATTGCATTCTTGTTCAAAACCTGTCTGTTGTGTTCTGGCTCTTGTAATAGGCTAGGCTAGGCTAAGGCTAAGGCTAAAGGCTAAAGGCTAAGGCTAAGGCTAGGCTAAGGCTAGGCTAGGCTAAGGCTAGGCTAGGTTAAGGCTAGGCTAGGCTAAGGCTAGGCTAAGGCTAGGCTAGGCTAAGGCTAGGCTAAGGCTAGGCTAAGGCTAGGCTAGGCTAAGGCTAGGCTAAGGCTAGGCTAAGGCTAGGCTAGGCTAAGGCTAGGCTAGGCTAAGGATTAGGCTAGGCTAGGATTAGGCTAAGGATTAGGCTAGGCTAGGATTAGGCTAGGATTAGGCTAGGCTAGGATTAGGCTAGGCTAGGATTAGGCTAGGATTAGGATAGGCTAGGATTAGGATAGGATAAGGATAGGATAGGATTAGGATAGGATAGGATAGGATAGGATTAGGATAGGATAGGATAGGATAGGATAGGATAGGATAGGATAGGATAGGATAGGATAGGATAGGATAGG